TCCTTGCCACGCACGTTGCAGGAGGCCTTGTCACCCAGTCTGTTCTGTATCAAGACCGTCGGGTTATCGACCAGAGGTGCCAGCTGTGCCTTGGAGCTCGCGGGACCTCACAGCACCGCCTCTTTGTCTGTGATGGGTTGCACGAGGGTCGCAGCAAGCTCGGTTTTGATGAGGAGCTGCGGGGTTGGAGGAGTGTGGAGGATGAGGATCCTTGCCTCTCCCGCTGCCTCCTCCCTGCCCCCATCAGGTTCACCCCTCGCCTCCAGATCACAGGTGCCTGGAGGTGGGACGTCTGCCCACCAGGAGGCGAAGTGCTAGGCCGCGTGTGCTCTGATGGGTCTGCTCTTTTGCCTGACCTTCCTCTCTTCACGGTCGCTGCCTGGGCGGTTGTGATACTGGACGGAGGGGGAAATGTTCTAGGCTCGGCCAGTGGTCCTCTCCCGCACGCGCTGCATTCTATTTATGGCGCTGAGGTGTTCGCCATCCTCATGGCTCTCCGCCTCTCGGGCCCAGGCGATGTTGAGCTTGGTTGCGATTCCTTGTCCGCTGTCTTGACCTGGGACCGAGGGGCGGAAGCTGATGTCTCTAACCTGCCCTTTGCGGAGTTTTGGGAAGAAATTAACTTCAGGCGGAGGGACCGTGGCGATTCGTTTCGAGTTTTCCATGTTCCCGCCCATAAGACCTGGCCCAAGGCTCTTTCCATGGGTGTGCCGTTTTGGGCTTGGAAAGGGAACCGAGTTGCGGATCTTGCTGCCAAGAGAGCAGCCAATGACATTCCCATTCCAGTGGCCCTCCGCGACCAGTTCGTTGAGCAAAGGCAGCGCCTGCAGGTTCTTGGCCGCTTCACAAGAGCCATGCTCGAGGTTGCTGGCAGGCCCAAGTTTCGCGATGTTTCTAAGGTTGTGGCCAAGAAGCCCCGCCCTCCAGGGACCCAGCTCATCCTCTGCCCCGACCCCAACGGGCACGTCTTGGGGCGGTGGGGGAAGGGGTGGCTGTGTGCGATTTGTCTCGACCGAGGGCGGAGCTGGACTCACCTGGCCAGTTTCAAGAGTTCTGGTTCGCCCAGGATTTGTCGCCAGGCTCACCGCTCGCATCGGTTGTGGGGAGGTGATCCTGGTGTTGCCCTCCCGATCATTTGGTGTTCCAGGTGCGGCAGCTATGCCAGGCACCGAATGAATTTGTTGGCTGAAGTGTGTTTTGGGAGGCCCCGAAATGACGCTACAGGTAAGTCTCTGGAGATGCTGCGGCGGGGCGTGGACCCCACCACTCGTGCGAGGTTCGGCCGTAGCGTCCCACTTTGGATCGAGAGAGGGGTTAGCCGCCTGGCGGAGGCGACACCCCCATCCTCGTTCGAGGCTTCGTGTCATGAGGGGCCCCCGCAGGAGCCTCACCGAGGCGATGGCTCCCCTGCCAGGGCCACCACTGAAGGATGACTTCGGGTCCCCTCAGCGGCGGCCCAGGCAGGGGGGGGGCACCGCCTCGGTCAGGGTCCCTCTTCTCTCTTCTTCTCTTCCTCCCCCCCTTGTCTGGCCTAGGTTCTGCGCCGCCTTGGCACCGCGGATCCTCGGCTGATGGAGAAACTGGAGAAACAGGAGGGGCAGGAGGAGGGGGAGGAGGAGGGAGAGGAGGAGGAGGAGGAGGAGGAGGAGGAGAAGGAGGAGGGGCAGGGCGGGAGGGGCAGGGAGGGGCAGGGAGGGAGGGCAGGGGTGATAGCAGAGGGTATGGGACGCACATGGACATACTGATACTCTCTGTCCTCCTTGGAGACGCGCGTCCGACCCGAACATATAGTATACCCATCTTGTATTAGATCGTTTCCCGAGCGGTGTGGCCAGAAAGCGCCCGACACGACGCATATACCAGAAGATTTCTCGGTGCGGGCGTCGCCCCTGGGGGGGCGACGGACATATACAGTATGCTGGGGTGACGCCGAGGGTGGGGTAGAGAATCAGCTCACGCAGCTGATTTTCCCAGCGCCTCCTGGCGCCGGGAGGCGCCCATGTATCGAGGAATGGGCCTGGCGGCGGGGCCGAAACCAGCTGCACGCAGCAGGTTTCGTACCCCCCCCTTTCCCTATCCCCCCCATTCGCTCGGCCCGAGCTTAAAGGGGCCCAGGGCAGGCAGGAACAGAGGCAGGAACGCCGAGTCCGCCGGCCGGTCGGCCAGCAGGCCCCTTGGGACACCGCGGGGGCGGGGCCCGCTTGCTGCACTTGCTGGACGAAGGCGCGCGTCCCATACGGAGTCGGAGCCGGAGTCGGAGAGATGGGAAGGGAGCAAGAGTCGGAGGGAGAATAAGAGCCAGAGTCGAAACCTGCAGAAGACCTTCAACCATTCCGCCAACATAAATAATCAGGACCGTGAGCCGGAGTCGAGAACACGGGAGCTGGAATCGGAGCTGGGGTCGGGGAGGCGGGATGGGAGCTGGAGTCGGAGAAACGGGAACTGGAGGACACACTAATAGATACACACAAGTCCCAGGATTCCCCATATCTTCCCATATTTTCTGGGTCTTTCGTCTTCGCCCTCACTTCCCACATGTTCCACATTCCTGGGGATCCACGGTCAATTGTGTCTGTGTGTGCGTTTGTTCCCCTCCTGAGGGGTTTTGATTTCGACGCGGGCTGACGTCACGCCGCAGCTACAGGAAAACACAGGCCGCGGAGCAACGAAGAGGGACCGACGGGGCCCGGACGGGAAGAGGAGGAGGTAGCAGCGGGGAAGGCCAAGACCCCCTCGCGCCGAGACCAAAATCACGGACAAAGGTTTTTGGCAACTTTCGGCAGCAAGGAAGGCCCAGACCCTCTCGCGCCGTGACCAAAGTCACGGGAAAAAGTCTTTGGTCTTTGGTAATGTTCGACTCCTGGGGTCGCTCACAGGGCCCCAGGACCGTCAAAAGGCGGCCCGAGACTGGAAGCTGGTCCCGGGGAAGGGATCCAGACCTCCGGGGGCCCGCTCTTTGAAACAGCTCACGAGGTCCGGGGGGTGGAGGCAACGAGCCCTCGCCTCCGACGACACAATTTGTGTCGCGACGCGGGCCCCGGGCCCCTGGTGATCTCGACCCCTTCCCAGAAAAAAAAGCAAAAGGAGATGCAAGTGCCCCTGGTGAGCTCAGGATGCAAACAGAGCCCCTGGCAGGGGCTCTGTTTGCATCCCGAGCTGTTTTTCAAGCTCCCCTCGGACCGGAACACGGCCTCGGGAGGAAATCCGTTGAAAAGTTGGCCGCCGCCTCTTGTTGCGACGCCCAGCTCTCTGGGGGAAGGGGAGACAAATCGAGGAGGAGGATCCAGGATTGTCCACCTTCTCCTCTTCGCTCTGCTTCTCGTTCGCTCCTGCGCCCCTTCCGCCCGCCATGGGGGGGGCGCAGCGACCATGATCGGCGAACATATCCGCATCCGCACCCCCGCGGTCTGGATTCCGGGATCGCGATCCCGCGTTCGAGACGGCAAGATGGTGGGGAGGTTTAGCAGCTAGGCGCAACAGTGTACAGTGGATGTGGCTGTGCTTCCCCAGTCGTTCTAAACCAGCGCGAGGGCGCTGAATGGTACGACAGTTTTCGATGATTACAGGCTATAAAACAAGGATATGCGCGGCAAGGATGCAGGGGCCTCAGAGGGCCGTGCTCACGCTTCTCGAGCGAGGCCGGCCAGCGAAGGCCGCGAAGGATGGGCCAGAGGGGCAAGGATGCAAGGGCAGCCTTGGAGAGCTGCTCATCCTTACCCTCGCCGTCGCTCGGACGTCCACTTCCCGTGCATTTTTCGGTTTCGTGCGTGTTTTTTTTTTGCTCGTTGGTCGAGGATGGTCCTCGATGGTTCTCGCCGAGAAAAAATGCACACGTCCAAGCGATGCCAGGTACCATGAGCGCATCTGTTTCGTTCGCGACCATACCGGGCGTTCTAGCGAGAGAGGGGGAGGGGCGGGAGGACGGGAGGGGGCATAACGTGGCGCCCCCCCCACCCCAGACTGTGGTGCCGGGCGCACTGCGGCAGTGCCGGGGACGCACCGAGGGGGGAGAGTTACGTTATCAGGGGGGGGGAGGGGGGGGGGACCCGGGAGGGGGCATAATGCGCGTATGGCCCAGAGGGTGTAAAAAAAAACTCTCAAGGGCAAGTAGCCTTGGGAAGTGGCTCATCCTTACCATCAGGTCGAGCGCGTCCTCCTGCAGGCGGAGTTTGGACGAAAACAGAAAAAGACAAAGGAATACTGGAAGAATCGTCCCCGGACTGTTTTGTTTGACTGTTTTTTGAACACTGCCCCTGTAGAGGCGCGCACGCCCGACTTAACCTTACCATGCGGGTGGACTGTACGCCGCCGCACGGACACGCCCCCCCGCGCGGAGCGCATCCGCGAGAAAAACACACACACATATACTAAATGAAAAGGAAAAGAACAACTAAACAAAAAATGCAAAATATAATATATACATATAACAAACATCTATCAACACAGAAAAATAAACATATGTCATAACATATATATATATATATATGGACCAAAAAACGAAACAACAACAAAAAACGTTGTGCGCCCAGCCAAGGGCCGCCCGAGGGGGCCCGCGGCCCGGGAGAGGCGGCGGGCACGCGGAGGCACGCCGTCCTCCGCCCCGCGAGGGGGCGAGGCGGAGGGCCGACGGTGGCCGAGGGGAGGCCGCACGCGCGCCGCACGCACGCCGCGAGGCGATGCCTGCCCATTCCGTCCCCGTCCTCCCCGTCCTGGCCCCTCCCCGTCCCTCGTCCCTCGTCCCTCGTCCCTCGTCCTCCTCGTCCTCGGCCTCGTCCTCCTTCCTCGGCCTCGTCCCTCCTCCTCCCTCGTCCTCGTCCTCCTCCTCGGCCTCCTCCCTCGTCCTCCTCGGCCTCGTCCTCCTCCTCCTCCTCCTCGTCCTCCTCGTTCCTCGTCCTCCTCGTCCTCGGCCTCGTCCCTCGTCCTCCTCGTCTCTCGTCCTCCTCCTCGGCCTCGTCCCCGTGCTCCGCTCTCCTCGTCCTCGAGCCTTCCGCGCGCCTCTGTCTCGGGACGGAGCTGCTCTCCCCACGTCGGGGCGACAAGGAGGAGGAGGAGGAGGAGGAGGAGGAGGAGGTACAGGAGGAGGAGGAGGAGGAGGAGAAGGAGGAGAAGGAGGAGGAGGAGGAGGAGGAGAAGGAGGAGAAGCTGTGCGCGTCGCCCGCCCGCAGTCGTGCGCGGCCCGTCCTCGCGAGGCGCGGCGCGGCGCAGCGGCCGCGCCTCCGCAGGCGAGGCGAGACGCCGAGGGGGCGCGCTGGCCTCGCTGCTGTGAGCGGTTCGCCGCGGCGCGCCCGTGCCGTGAGCAGTGGGACGCTGGTGCCACGAGGAGAGGACCCAGACCCCCTCGCGTCGCGAAGAAATCACGGCGGGAGGTTTGTCGCTGTTGTCGGCCTCCGGGGGCCCTCGCCGGGCCTCGGGGCCGTCAGAAAACGGCTCGGGATGGAAACCCGGTCCCGGGGCAGGGGTCCAGGCCTCTGGGGGTCGACGCTGCGAAAAAAACACGGCGTCAGGGGTCTGGGAGGAGAGGAGGGAGGGGCCTCGAGGGGAACGGGCCTGGCGACGAACGAGCAGCACGCACCCATACCATGCCCGCAGGGGGGGTCGGAGGGAGGAGGACTGGCTGTGGGTAACTATGGGTGCGGGTTGGTCGGATCCCGGGAGGGGCTCCCTTTCGAGCGGGGACTCCCAACGGACAACGCGCACCCATGCCACCTGCGACCCCCCTAGGGGTATGTTGAGCAGAGGCCGACCGTCCCGGCATTCCTATAGGCCTACCACGGCATGTTCGTGGAACCCAAAAATGTTCTGAGAACGAAACGATGCTCTTAGAGCATAAAACCCGCTGTGTTAAAACACGACAGTCCCAACCAGAAAGGTTCTAGGAACAGTTCGTCGAGACCAGAAAAGGTTCGGAGAACATGGTTTGGCAGGCCTATATATAGGCGAGCCAAGACGCTTCGCCACTGCTGGAGTACGGGGGTATGGATGTGGGCGTGTGCGCTGTTATCGTCCTCCGGGGGCCGGGGGGCCTTCCACCAGGAGCGGCTCGTCCCCGGCCGCCGGCCCTGGGGCCCGTGGATGACGGCCTGGGGCCCGGGGCCTGGGGCCCGGGGCCTGGGCCCCCGCGAGGCCGAAGAGCCCCGCGAGGCCGGAACAAAAAAAAAAAAAAAACTCCGGGCCCCTCTCCCTCAAGAGGTCTTCCCTCCCTGGCCAGCCGATGTCCGCGCCCGCTCCGCGGAGGCCTGGCCCGGTCGGGCTGGGCCTCCGCGGCCAGCCTCTTCTGGGCGTTCCCCTGAAGCTCTGGGAGGGCCCCGCGTACGTACGCCTACCCTGGCCAGGCCCCTCCCAGGCCCAGGATCAGCGTGTGCGCCCCCCTCCTCCTCCTCCTCCTCCTCCTCCTCCTCCTCCTCCTCCTCCTCCTCCTCCTCCTCCTCCTCCTCCTCCTCCTCCCTCCTCCTCTCCTCCTCCTCCTCCTCCTCCTCCTCCTCCTCTCCTCCTCCTCCTCCTTCCTCCTCCTCCTCCTCCTCCTCCTCCTCCTCTCCTCCTCCCTCCTCTCCTCGTCCTCCTCCTCGTCCTCCTCCTCCTCCTCCTCCTCCCTCCTCCTCCTCCTCCTCCTCCTGCTCCCCCGACGTCGCAGTTTTGGTTCGTGGCGTTCCGCTGGGCTAGCATCTCATCTTGAGCCGCTTATGATGGCCCGGGGGCCAGGAGAAGACGTCCCCGGGAAGCCGAAAGCGTTCAGCAGCCAGCCATCACGATTCTTCCTGTGGCTTGTTCTCTTCTTGTCAACGATCGTTAGCGTCGCGGCGTGCACCTGACAGGGCGAGTCCGCGCGCGTTTGGTGGGGGGGGGGCTGGCCGGGGCAACGAGCGTTACCCTCTGGGGAGGGAAATCACCTTTCGGCGGCGAGCGAGGGGGGGAAATGAGAAGGAGAAGGCCTTCTCAAAGGCGGCGGGACTTCTCAGAAGCCCTCGCGCCTTCTGAGAAGTTTGTCCTGGCTCCAGGGAGGGCTTAGAAAACTTCTCAGAAAGCTGGGGGACTTCTGAACCTTCTGACGAGGTCTTCTCCTTCTCGCTTCCCCCCCCCGCTCGCCGCCGAACCTTGTGACGCCCGAACCTGATGGCCTGGCCGATCCTGGGCCCAAGACCGCCTGGCGCCCTCCGCTTCCCAGGCCTCCGCCAGCGCCGCGCGCCGCGGCGCGCCGCCGACGGTGCGCCGGCGACGCGGAGCGCGCTGCTCGCGAGGAGAGGCGGCCCGGTGGTCGTGTTCCCGGCCGTGGCGCACCAGCCAGGGGCCCCCAAATGTTAGGATGCAACTCCTTGGAGGTCTTCGTCAGGAGGAGGGTAGGGGTAGGGTTCGCATGTGGCCCCCTAGCTGCTACACCGGACCAAGCGAGATGAAGCGGATGAAGCCGGAGTTCGGGCCAGGGCAAAGTCAGAATGTGACCTCCGAGGAACTGTATCCGAACAAACGGTCTTCTGACCGTGTCGTCGGGTGAGCGACTGAAGTGGCACGACGACACGGCGGCACAAATCTTAGGTCGGGCATGTCCTCCTACCGGCAGATTTTGGACGAAAAATAAGAAATAATCCAAAACATACTCCAAAAAAGTCAAAAATGCTAAAGAAATAGTCCCCAGACTATTTTTTAAAACTATTTTCGAATACTCCCGCGGGACGAAAGTTTAGGCCAATTTGCCTTTCCCAATGGAGTTCCCGCGCGCCGGCGCGGAAGGACTTCCCATGCATCAAAAAAGTGGAAGATTTGTTCCTTCCGCCGCGGCTGCGCCACCGCTGCGCTTCGTCGCCTTGGCGCAGGAGAGTCTACGGGGGAGAGGGTGCCATCGCAAGTCTTGCGACGCTCTCGCCTTCATTCGCCGCGGAAGGTACACGGGCCAGACTACTGTCACGGCTGGTGCGGTTCCTCCTGCAGGGGGACGTGCCCGAAACAAGAGCGGCACGACGGCGCGGCGGCACGAAGCGCGCGGCGGCTGCCCCCGGGGCCGCGAGGCGGCGGCCCCTGGTGGCCGTGCAGCCCTGGCCGTGGCGCACCAGCCAGGGGTCCCCGAACGGTCTTCGGGCAGTGCCGCCCGGCGTGGCACGCGCAGGAGCATGCCAGCACGACATGTCCTCCTGGGAGGCGCGCGTCCGAAATGGACATGTAGTAGACCCATCTTGGTCTACGAGCACCCCTGGGCCTTAGTGGTGCCTGGAAACGACAGGGCCGTATTTTTACCGGTTCCGTTTTGCCGTTTTTGTTGCCAGTTCCGACGCCGTTTTTTTACCGGTTCCGTCGCCGTTGTTTGACCGGTTCTGGCTCCAGTTCCGATCCTGGAGCCGTTTTTTTGCCGTTTCCGGTCGCCGTTTTTTTGCCGTTTCCATTTTCAATGGACATTTTTTGGGAAACGGTGAAAAAACGGCCCTGCCGTTTCCGGGGCCCACAAAGCCCTTGGCGCCCTGGATCAGCTCAAATAGCCGCAGCCTGGGGCCCGCCTGGCGCGTGAGCCCTCTCCTCCAACGTCGCTGTGTTTTTTTCGCGACGAGAGCCCCCGAGGATCTCGGCTCTGGACCTCTTCCCAGGAACGGCTTTCGATCCAGTGTGGGACGCACCGAAAGATACTAGGACGAGATTCGCCGAGCGCGTTCCAGTACTCGCAGAGTGCCTACTCGCAAACGTCCGAAAAGCACCTGTCTGCTCTGATGTCATTTAACGTAGAGCCCCCGCGGGGGATCCAGGCGATTTGCGAGCAGTTACTGTGCGAGTAGTGGAACGCGCTCGTCGATATATGTCCTCCTTGGAGGCGCGCGTCCGACCCGAACATATATAGTATACCCATCTTGTAGTACATCTCGTACCCCAAGCGGTGTGGCCAGAGAGTACCCGCGAAAGCGCATGTGCTATCAGCTTTCTCGGTGCGCGCGTCGCCCCTGGGGGGGGCGACGCACATATAGTATACACGTCGTTCATTTCTAATCGTGCTCATTTCTAATTGTGCTCGCTTCTAATTGTTCCTGGCCCCCTAGTGGCCAGGAAGAGGTCCAGGATAGAACGGTTCGAAGTGAAAGGATCTTGGCCCCCCAAAAAAACAAATAACTTTCGAATAATTATAAATAAACAATGTGTAAGTATGCTGGGATGTCGCCGACGAAGCGGCACGACGACACGGCGGCACTCATCGCGCGGCGGCTGGCACGGGGCCGCCCGCGCGGCACGCCGCGCGGAGAGCGGGGCGCTCACGCGCAACCTTCCCCGGGGCAGCGCACGTGTCAGCTCCGCGACGAGTCCACATCGAGCCCGCGTCGGGCACAAGAGAAGACACGAACTTGGGGGACAGGCGAGGTCCCCCGAAGATGCAACGTAAACCGCCCTTTCTCTCATGTCGCTCAGGCGCACCAGGTGCGATCTGGGGTGACCGGAGCGTGCTCGACCCGGGCCGATCGCAGAGATCCGGCACGACGTCGTGGAAAAATCGGCAATGAAAAGGCCGCAGCTGGAGCCCCAGACCCTACCGTTCTTCTTGTCCCATCCATCATGTGGTGTGTGCCCACTGCCCTCCGCATGCCCACGACTTCGGCACACCCATCACACACGCTTCGTGGCCCCATAGGGAGCTCCACCGAAGGCCCCGGTGGTAGTGGCCACATGCGGCTCCCCGCCCACCGCATGTCCACTTCGGCACACCCCTCACACGCTTCGACGCTTCGTGGCCCCATAGGGATCTCCACCAAAGGACCCAGTGCTAGTGGCCGCATGCGTCTCCCCGCCCACCGCATGTCCATGTCGGCACGCCCCTCACACGTCTCGTGGCCCCATAGGGAGCTCCACCGAGGGAACTAGTGGCCGGATCCACATGCGCCTCCCCGCCCGCCGCATGTCCATTTCAGCACACCCTTCAAACGTTTAGTGGTCCCACAGAGAGAGATCCACCTGAGGCCCAAGTAGGTGCGGCCACATTCGGCTTACCGCCAACCGCATGCCTATGCATGCCAACCGCCACCGCATGCCTCACGTTTCGTGGCCACAGGGAGCGTCACCAAAGGCACCAGTGACAGGGACCACTTGCGGCCCCCCGCCAACCGCATGTCCAACGGCACACACCACTCACAGCGTTTCGTGGCCCCACTCCACCTAAGGCCCCAGTAGGTGCGACCACGTGCGGCTCACCGCATGCCGCATGTCCATGTCGGCACACCCCTCACATGATTAGTGGCTGCATAGGGAGCTTCACCTAAGGCCCTAATGGCAGGGCCCACATGCGGCTCCCCTCCCACCGCATGTCCACTGCGGCACACCCCTCTCACGCCTCGCTTCCCCATAGGGCGACTCCTCCTGAGGCTCCAGTGGTTGCGACCACATGCGGCTCCTCGCCCAGTTCGGCAATGCCCTCAAACGCTTCGTGGTCCCATTGGGCAGCTCCACAGAAGACAGATTCAGAACTGCGGCACACACGGTTGCACGTGTCTGGGGCCTTCGCCAGGATAACTTCCACAAATGAGCCCTACGCCAACAAACTCCGCTCAGCCTGCTGCACGTCTCGAGCCAAATCGACTCGTGAGGGCCTCGGGGCCCGAGGAGGGATGAAAAACACCCTGGTGCGACAAAGTTGCGACGCCCGAGTCTCAAAGTCCTCCGAGGATGGCTCGAGCGCCTGGCGCCTCCCAGATCCTGAGCTGGCAAGGCTTCGGGTGGCGCCCAGACGGCCCAGCTGGCCGCAGCAGGCCCCCCCGAGTAGTCCAGGGACGCCTCAGCACTCTGGCGCCGCCCCCCGCGGCGCACCCAGGGGGGCGCTCCGCGCCCCTGGGTGGAGGCGCCGAGCCCGCCCTGGGCTACCTTGGGAGGCGCGTCGAGGCCAGCTGGGGCTGGGCCCGTCGAGGCCAGACGGGACTTCCTGGGGGGGGGGGGGGGAGGGGGGGGGGGGGGCTTGCCCGTGCGCGGCCCGAGGCCTTTCCATCCTGGGTCGGCGCCCGCTCTTGCTCCCCGGGGGGGGGGGGGGAGCCCTCAGGCGGAGGCTCGGGCAGGACGCTGGCCAGCGTCCTGGGCAGGGCAGCAGGCGAGCAGCAACTCCCGAGACGTCTTCGCAAGAGCGAGCGGGGGTGAGGAAGCCTGGTGAAGGCGCCATTCAACAACCAACCGGGTTAGACCGGATTCGACCCGAGAGTAAGACGCATTAAGCCAGATTTAGAAAGAATTTGAGCTGGATCAAGTGAGGTCATGCTAGATTAGGCCTGTTTTTAGCCACGGATATACCAGCGCCGATGCTGAATGTAACCTCCCTGGAGTTGCATCCTAACAGCAATTCGCTGCCACGGCGGGCTCTGAGCAGGCGTGGAGATCGCGCCCCCGGGTTCAGAGGCCAGGGGCCATGCGGCAGGGCCGAAGGGCGCCTACCCGCAAGAGTGGCCCTCGGCAAGAGTGGCCGTTGGTGTGCGGCCTTCGCAGGCTATGGGGGGTGGAGCTTCCAGGCAGGGCTGGGCGCGAGTGAGCAGATGTCTACACCACCCCTGACGTTGGCGTACTGCTGTACATACAGGGCAGTTGTTAATACATGGGATGTTTGAAAATATTGGATGTTTCATAGATGATTACTTTATGAATGATTTTTTATGCATGAACTCCTCGTTGTTTTTAATACTACGTCCCTGCATTTTTAAGACATGATGCGCACGCGGAGCATGTATTAAAAACGGCGCTGTACGCTCATGCACGTGATCTGCAACCGATGTGCCGTCCAGGCACGGCTCCTGACCTGACCTGGGGGGTGGTGGGGGGGCGGCAAACCCGAGCGGGCAAGCTAGTGTTATGTCGGGCGTGTCCCCCTACAGGGGGATTGTCGACGAAAAATAAAAATACCCCAAACATATTCCAAAAAGGGCCAAAAATACTCAAAAAATAGTCCCGAGACCATTTTTGGAATATGTTATGACTATTTTCTGTGTATCCTCTTTTTCGTCGAAAATCCCCCTGTAGGGGGACAGGCCCGACTTAAAGCTAGTGCTGGCAGGAGCCCTGTGGGCCCGCACGAGAAGTCACCCTGGCGGATGGTCAAGCTCACGCGTGGCCGAATGTCAGCCCTGTGCGTTTACTGCATGTCCAGTGAGGTCTGCGGGACTTCGAAGGCATGTCGGCCATCTGCAAGCTTAGGTCGGGCATGTCCCCCTACAGGCGGATGTGAGGTGAAAAATTGAGAAATACCCCAAACAAAATCCCAAACAATCAAAAAATACTCCCAAAATCGTCCCCTTTCCTATTTTTTGTAACTATCTTTGGAATACTCCTCCTGTAGAGGGACAGGCCCGACTTAGCTGAAGGCAGACCGCTTGGGGACCCCCCTGGAATCACGAGGTCGGACTGCCGCCGCGAGCCGAGCCGGAGCGGGCGAGGAACGGGACGGCCGACCCGGTCTCCGTCCTCCGCCTGGCGGCACGCTGGCTCCTGGATTCCACCAAACCCAAAAGGGGGCCTTGCTGAAATTAACGGGCGAAGAACGGTATAAAATAAACTTTTTCGCTGTCGGGGGCGCCTGCCCCAGGGCGGCTGGAAAGTTTATACCCTTACGGTGGCACCTTAGGGGTATAAACTTTCCAGCCGCCCAGGGGCAGGTGTCCCCGACGGCGAAAAGTTTATTTTATACCGTTCTTCGCTCACTGATGAAAGGGGGTGGTGCAATAGACTTCGGGCGGTTGTATTGCAAATGTGCTGCGCTGGAGAATTGGATTGCAGCGTATCGCAAGCAATGCATTGCACGCGAAAATCCAACAACACAGTTGCGCCCCAGAATGTATTGCACGCCCCAAGTGTATTGCAACCCCACAAATCTATTGCACCCAATCCATTGCACCACCCCCTTGTCGCTGGACCCCCTTTTGGATCAACCCTGCCTGCCGCACGAACAGCACGACGAAGGGATCACACAATGCCATCGGAGCCTGCGGCAGTCAGCACCGCGGCCCTCCAGTACGACAACACCTCCTCCTTGGCGCGAGCATGGCTGGCGCGAACCTGGGCGCTGACGGCCTGGGCCTGCGCCTCCGTCAGGTCAGTGGCGCGAGCCAGGAGGTCGCGGAGGCTGTGGAACCGCAGGAGGTGGGGCCGCAGCTCCCACTCGCTGTACTGCGCCCAGTAGCGCCGGTCGTCGTGGTACGAGTCGAACGGGAGCCCTCGCTCGCTCTGGAAATCGAACGGCGAGAATGGCGGGCTGCTCCTGCTCGGGGCGTCCGGGTCGACGCTGCGCGTCAG